TTATGGTTTTTTTTAATTTTGGACGCGGATGGAGTCGCGGATGACAGCAACTTTTAATAAAATGTTAAATCACGATTTTTACTTATCAATTTGGATGTGATTAATCAAACACTGCTTAGTTAAACAACATTAAGAAGACTTTAAAACCTATTTCGACTAAACTCCACAGGTTTTTTTTTAATCTTATTCTATTTATCAATATAATAATTGTGTAAGGTAACGCGTGCTTACAAATTAAATAACACAAGCTGTCAACGTCCGCTTTATTACATCATTTGTTTTATCTACTACATTTAGCATTTATAATCTGTTGCTTTCCGTAATAAAAAATATATTTTGTTTTTAATTCAATGAGATAAGTTAATTAAAGTCAATTAGTATTAAATTATCCTATGATATATGTTTATCAGGTGAACCGTTTGTTCGTTTGCCACCTTTCAAGAACACTATTAATTAATTACTGATAAGTTACTTAGGTTTACTTTTAAAATAAGATGAATATGTAGCCTTAAAAGCGCGTAAAATTCTATATTAACTAAACTTGGGTGGCATTTATTTTTTTAAATACCTATATACTAAGTATGTCTATCGGTGCACTAAGATCACCAAGAACTTTGTAGTTTATGCGATATTGACAATGTTACTAGTAATATTGTGCAATCAAGATAAACGGTGTTACAGGGTGTTCTCCAAATGATTCATTAAAGCACGCGTTACAACATGTTATGTAAAGTCTGACATATGTACATATGTACTACAAGATGTCTAGATGTCAAGTATATAAGAATTCTACTTTAAGTAACGTAATTCATCAGACTTTTATTTGCATATCATAATCAACAATAAAACAGCTTTAATTATTTCTAGGTGTAGTGAGTGTTTCAAAATATTGCGTAGTATGACATCACAGAGAGACGCAGTATAGAGGTTAGAGGGGCTTATGCAATGCATTTCGCAGACTCTCAGACAGCTATTCCGACCACCCTGTAACTGATGCCGCTCGACAACAGATTACCATCCTTAGTACCCTCATGATGCAAAAAAACTTTTTTGCATTACATGCTTGCAAATAAAGTAAGATATCGTAATCTGATTTTTTTTTCAATTCGAAACTCGAATAACTAAAACAAGCCAAAGACCGACATAATGTTTTTTAATGATCTATTCTGGCGTCAACACAGTTTATCATTATAGCGGGCGATATAAAAGCCTATCAATGTTAATTACAAAGGGTAGTACAAATTATCCACGCGTCAGGTTGTCCGTGGCAGGTAATCGCTGGTTAGAAAATCAATAAGCGAGATTGCAGCGATCAGGTGCGCGCGCGCAGCGTGACCGCACCTGTACGCACTTCACGCTCCGCAGGGCCGGGCGGGGAGCCGCGGGGCGAGGGGGCGCAGCCCTCACAACAACCACTCGGATATTGCCGCTTAATATCTCGTTAGGAATGTAATTAATTTTAAAAACATACATATGTCAATTTACACTTAACAATGGTGGGAAAAATAAGATTTTTTTTTCTATAGAAATAGAAACTTAGCTAAACGGAGTTTAATTCATAATTATAACTAATTTAGTAGATAAATATTTTTTTTTCTATAAACAATAAAAGATAAATGTCATTTACTTTTCTATACTTAATTTATTTCTTTAAGTTTCACGCCTGAATTATCTTAGCACGCTCTATCAAAGTGCCACTTCAACCCTTTGACGCAGGGGTTGACTACCCTCGGTAATTAATCACAAAGTTAATATCCATAATGACTTAATGGGCTCGCGTGACACTCGTGATTAAGTTGAACCAGCTTTTGTGAACGATTCAACCCTAAGGGTTGGTTATTTTCATATTAAAGTATCTCCCTATCGTTTTTCAAGGTCAAATACATAAAAGGGGTTATATGTGGATTGAATTTTGAGATTAGTATATTTGTCACTCCACTAATTATCTGGTATTTTGAAAGGGGTGTTGAGGGTTGAAGTTACATAATTACATACTTATTTTATTGCTGGTATTTATAAGCAGCCTTAATTTTTTTATTAGGGGAACAAATATGCAAGTCGTTTGTATACTTAATAGTAGAGATACAAGTTGAAAATGTTTTAGATATTAAAAAATCACAAAGTGAAATATATTAGTTACATAAACAATTTCACCTAAATATCATATTATATGTCAGATTAACTTCTGGCATTTTTAATCGGCTTTAAAAAGGAAGAGGTTCTCAACTCGTCTGTTTGTTTTTTTCTGTTATTGTGTGGGTAAAGTGATGTATGGACGTAGACATGAGGCTCATGTATTCATTTGTTTGCAAAATTTTCCTTGCAAATGAAATAAATTATTCATGAAAGCAATGTAGTGAACAGATTTGAATTGGAAGCCTCGGTCACGATAATTTTGTTATGTTTTCGGAATGCCGTTGTTAATAACAGATGTCACTAACCTGAATAAGTGACATTGGCCCAATCCGATGAGGGAGAGCCATAAACAAGAAACAGAACAGAACAGAACCTGAATAAGGTATCATTTGTTTTGTGTTATTTGCCGAAGTAGAATAAAAGCCGAAATTTTTTGTCTATTGATTATAATTTCATTAACAAAAACACCATTGATTAAACATAATATTATCTCATGATATCTCTGGTCTTTCAAAGTGTAACTAAACAAGTATTTCTACAATGGAAATGGATCATTGGTCACTTAAAATGAGATGACAACTGTTGCAGTATCAGACTTAATTTTCCCTTTATAGTTAGTTAGCACAATAAGACAAAGTCGAAGAGAAAGTCCAACAGTCATTGATATTAATTACCATAGAAAAGTGTATTGCGCGATGTTTTCCCACACAGTAGGAGATCGGTGCGTGGGGCTATATCGCACACACGTTGATAAACTACAGCTTCCAGATGTACTTTGTGCATTACGACATAGAACATAACCACTCGCTTTACTTAACACATTCCTGCCCATACCAACTTTTATTTCTGGATAATCATGTGACAAAACGCCGACGATGAGAGAGGTGGTTAATACTTTCATCTTGTATGTAGTACAACTTCAGACAAATGATACTCGTAGAATTTAGGTTTTTGTTTAAAGCATTTTTATCTTTTTAGTTGATTGTAAATAAGTACTCGTATCTTAGATAGATATTTAGAAAGGGTAGCGATAAAAATAAAAATATTTTCATTCAAAAACATTTTATTCTCTCGATATTACAAAATAACTTACAAAACAATACGACTTTTGTCGCAATTACATTCATTTTGTACAAATCTTAGTGAATACGATCATTATAAATATATGTATTTGGACAATCTCTGGCTCGCTGCCTTACCAGGGCAAGAAAGCTTCATCGTGAAGAAGTAATAATACTTTCCAAGTTAAAGTTATAGATTTGTTACATAGTTTCCACATAACTAGACCAAGCATTCGACGTCTGTACATATATCTTTATATATATTTATGTTATTTAAACTTTGAACAGGACAATGTCCTTGGGTTTCGAACTTCAAATGAGGGTTTACATACTACTACTTATAATTTAAATTATTTCCATTTTTTAAAGCATTTTCATTGTAATACCAACAGAATAGTTTTCGTTTTAAACACACGACATGATCACTAAGTATTTGTTTCCTTTTTAAAATATAGGAAACAATGTATTTCTTTGTTGCAGTAACTGCAATAGCTCAGAGATGTGAAGGTCGCCATCGAGCGCACGGACTTTGCTCAGATGTAGAGCGCACCAAGTAACCGACGGACAATCTCGGTGACAGAATAACCGTGAATATTCCACCGCGGTAAAACTTGTATTAAAAAATATTGTCATCTCTTTTATTCTCTTAGTTAAAAGAGAAACAACAGTATGTTATGCACAAGTGTTACTGCTGTGGAAAACACTACTTTTTATGTATTTATATGCTTAATGGCAAGTTTTGTTTACGAAACCCTAACATATACAAATTTATAAATGTTTTATTATAGGTATTTTTCTATGAAATTGGCAATGCTCGGCCCTTGTAGAATACAAGATCCTTAATGTACAGAGTAAGGCAACTTCAGAGATGTAACATATAGTTATTAACATTATCTGAACACATTATCTGTACACAATAATTAATACATTTGTACTTGTTTTTTTAATTTCTTTATAAACTAATCAAGTTATACACTTAGTGGCAGAGATATGTGATAAATAAGAATTGCGTTTTATAAACAAGATATGCAGCGAAATGTAAACGCAAACAGCAAAACAAGTTGTTATCGCACGTAGTCATATTAACCGGAATATTTGATATATACACAAAGGTATAATTTAAAAAGGTTTAATATACATATGTTTTTTATTCTTTTTGTTCATAAATTTTTAATTTCAATGAGTCATATTTTTTTAATGTTTACTATACTATTGTATATTTATTACATTTATAAAATAAATGTAATTATTACGTAAGTATAGTTGACAATTCAATAATTACTATTATTCCTGTCCTTGTCTATAAATGTTTTGTCTGTTCAAATGTATACATTTTCATATCTTAAATTGAACTGAACGTTAAAATACTATAAATATTGAATTCTTCTTTCCGAATGCCGACAAATAGTAGGAGAGTTTGAAGACAAACAATATAGCGTGAGTGTACGGGAAGCATTTGTTCCGTGCCTACTTGTGTCAAGGAATGGGGCTAATGGTTGATTATAATCGCGCATTTTGTATTTCGGGCGTTTCGCTCCAACGTTTTACAATAAAATGTAAATAACATGCGACTATGCTCATTCTTAATTGCTTTCACGCTAACCAAAATTCCCTACGAACATTGTAATGTAACAAAAATCACCGTCACTATTTTATATTAGAGCTGTTGTATAACGATCATTATAATGTTTATAGTTGCCAGACTTCATTTCATTTACATAAAGTTCATTTACATTTAGGAGCTTCAGAACAACAGTTTGCGATATTATATAGTTTTCAACATGTTTCCGATATTATAAATTGTTTTTTTTTGGTTCTGTATTGATGTACCTCAATCTCAATAACCAAGTCCAATGCACCCATTCACAACTACCAAGGCAATTTAAACATATACAGGACCGTAATATTGGTATGTTCCACCGAAACAAACATATGTGCACATGCCGCGGAGCAGCACGAAGAACAACAGCGGTGCGGCGTGGCGGTGCGGAAGATGTGCAACACTGGCCGCTTAAAGACGTTATTATTTAAATATTTCAACTTTGAGCAACATACTGAGTATTATCTTTTATGAGGAAGACGATTTCTCTACATTATTCATTAGATTACTATGGCGTTATGTGCTAAAAAAACTATCAAAAAGTCAGTCTTTCGGTCGGAGGTTAACGTCACTAGGGGGTGCGGGGCTGAGGGGAGCCGCTATCACGAGATGATGCAGTTCTTGTCTTGTCCGGCGCTCTTGCGGCGGCGCTCGCGGCGCGCGCACGCCACCGCGTCGTTGGGCACGTAGGAAATGCGCACGCCGCCGTAAGCGCGCCGCGTCGGCAGGCTGTACGATTCCGTCGACGATGAGGAGGATGAGCATGTGCTGCAGTAGCTGCTCGCATCCTCCTCGCGCGCCCGCTCCCTCCGCACCGGCTCGTCCGGCTCGAAGGCGCGGTTATCGTCGCCGCAGAAGCGCACAGTGCGCCCACCGCGCGCCCGCCGTCCTTCTCCCCCTGTCAACTCTGGCATGGACGAGGCGTGACCCGGCGCCACCAGCGCCTGCGCCT